TGAGTGGTGTTCCCCCCCACCTCCAAAATGGAGGACAAAAGGGCAAGGGGGCTGCAGCCGGCATTGCCAACCGCCCACATCCCTAGGAGGGTTGAGAGGGGAGCTCCTCGCACAGGGGCTGGCTTGCAAACCCCAGCGCTCGGACACCATTTTGATGAAGCCCTTCAAGGGCAGCTCCAGTTATTTCCAGTGCGGCAAAGCCAGCCCGCTCCCCTCTGCCCAAGTCCCCATCAAAAAGTGAGCGCTCAGAGTCATTCCCCTCAAGCCAAAACTAGAGATTTCCTCTCATTGAGCTAAATCAATGTAAACCAAATTTTTAAAAATAAATAAAGCCACTTGATTATAGAGTCAGCTGCTAAATTACTGCAACTTCAGGCTATGTCTAAAAAGGCCTGAAATGCCTTTATGATGATGATCATCATCATCATTATTGTTGTTATTATTATTGCTATTATTCTTATTACTATTACTATTATTATTCCTTTTCTAGGTAGCACGGGTTACTTCTAGAAAGGCAAATACTTCTTGCTGGCTTTCCCCCTCCACCTAAGAAGCCCAAATAGTTTGCAACCTCTTTCCTTCCATTACTGAGAGGTGAAATAGTTTGCTGAGATCTGAAGGCTGCAGACAACAAAAAATACCAGGTCAGCCGATGCCTGCGATATGTCGCTGCCTGCGTGTGCCCATCGCTGCGCTCCTGAACGCCAGCGCATACAGACGTGCACGCACCGGGCACAATCAGCGCAGGGCTGATTCCTCCCCAGCGCCAACGCAAGGATGCAGCCGCCTGCGTTGTGATTTTTCCCCTAATTCATTCTTTTCTTTTTCTTTCTTTTTTTTTTTTTTTTGCTCTTTAATCACATGCAGCTCCCCCCAGGGCTTTCCCCAAGCCCGGCTGGGTCCTGCCATAGGATGAAAAGCTGCCATCGGGGGTGTCAAACTTTTAAAAAAGTGATTTTGTTCTGGCGCAGACTTCGTGATGCGCAAGAGTTTGTCTTTCTTTGAAAGGAAGAAAGAAAAAAAACAAGTACTGGGAGGAAAGGCAAAACCCCCCTTCCAGCATTTGGGATCCGAAGGGAGAGGAGACCCGTGCCAGGCTGGCGATGCCATGCAAAGTTTGCTGCGTCCTACCTGTTCTGGGCGGCTGCGGAGCACAAATTGCACTTTTCTATCTAACGGCTCTTCCCTGCAATCTGTCACCTTTTCTTCTCCCCCTCCTCCTTTCCGGGGCCCCCCATCTACCAGTTGCTCCGTCCTCGCTCAATAATAATTACCCCGTCCAAGAATTAATTATAATAAATGTTTTCTTGATAAACTAACGAGATAATCCTGGCGGCACACGTCCCCTAATTACGGGCCGCCAGCCCCAGCTCTGCACATCGCTTGGACTGATTAATTTTCTGCCTGATGGCAAGGAAACAAAACCCCCGAGCTGGACGGGCCCCTGCTTCCCCGAACGAGCTTGGCCCTTTTGCGGGGAAGGGTTTGCAGGCGGGGGAGGCCCCTGCGGGACAGACCCGCTTGGATCCAGGCTGGCCCCGCACAGCCTTGTGCCCAGGACCGACCGGACTCAGCTCGTTGTATTATTAGTAGTAGTAGTATTAGTAGTATTATTATTAGTAGTAGTATTTTTGGTTACAGCCCAATCTGAAGTCTCACTTTAACCCTCTTGATTATTTCTCCCAAAAGGGGAACTTTTCTGTGCCTTGGCAAGAGGTCTGCCTCTCTTTCCTTTTGCTTGCCACCTGCCATTCCCCTGTCTCCTTTAACCCCCCAAAGGCACCCGCAAGAAACCAAATCCAAGGGGGCTACATGCCGAAGCCATCAAACGGAGAGAGGAAACGCTTGGGGAAGGATTGACACCCCCGGATCCTGCCCCGAGGACGACGTGGGGAAAGTTATTATTATTAATTTTTTTTAACCAAAAAATAAAAATAAAATCCTGGCGCGATGGCAGGCGTGTGTGTCCGCGCACAGGCCCTGCGCGGGGAGAGACCCTCGGGGCAACGCACAAGTTCGCGGCGTGCGCGGAGAAGTTTGCGGCGGCCCAGGCGGTGCGCGCCACTTTGCCGTGCCCAGCCGCCCCCCACGCCTCGCCCATGCTCCTGGTCCAGCCGTGGGGCCAGCCGGGGAAATGCACCCATTTCACCCACAGAGAGAGGAGGCTTCCTGCGTCCTCCCGTCTCTTTCTCCCTCTGCCCCGAGATGCTCCGCAGAGTTTTCATCTCTAGAAAGCAGCAGCCCCCTGCCCACCCCGCTTTGCTTTCCCCCTCCTCGTTGCCTCCAGTGTTTCTCAGCCCAAGCCGTGCTGGTCCAGTCCCCCTCCTCTCTATCGATCGGGGGTCTTAGGCAGAAGCTGTTTATCAATAACCGAGGAGGCCCAGAGATTTCATTGCAATTATTTCTGAGGCTAAAAGTGGGAGGCAGGAGGGTCAGGCCGGAAATAATCATACAAAACCCCCTATATATTTTTTTTTTTTCTTTCCAGTTTGGAAGGAAAAATGTCCCCCCCCAAACCTAAAGAGGAAAGGAAAGGGGGAATTTGGGGGAAGTGCCTCCCCGCCTCCTCAATTATCCCATCTGCCCTCTGCATTTCCATTCAAAGGAAAGGCTCCGAATTTGGGGCACAGGTACATTACTTCCACGGGGGTCGACGGCGAGTTTTTAAGCATCCCCCCCCTTCCCAATCGCCACCACCTCCCAGGTCAGTCACCTCCGGGCACAGTGCAGACACGTTTCATTTAGAAAAATAAATCAAATCAAAACTAAACTCAAAGAGCTGCCTCTATGCTTAGAGGCAGCGGGCTGCAGAGAGAAATCCTCACTTAGCAAACTCCCCCCTCCGCCCCCCACCCAACCCTCCAAAAAAGAAGAATTTAAAATGAAAATAATAATAAAAAAAAAGAGCAGGTATTTTCCGAGCATCCGGCTGTGAACTCGCCCCTCCGCTGATATCAGCTCTCAAGTGTTTTGCAGGAGAGCACCAGACACATTGGAGAGAGAAAGGAGAAGAAGGAGAGGAGGTTGGAGGGATTGGGGAAGGGGGGAGCAGTTCTCACTTACCTTGAAGCTTCAAGTCTGGGTGTTGGGAAAGGACAAAAAAACCTGGCCCAAATTATCCTTGGCAAATTCCAAATCAAGAGCTCGCCTACAAAAGAAATCACAGGAGCGGGAGGTTAGCAATCCTGGTCCTTCCACCTTCCCTGGAAGTCAACGCACAGAACCAGAAAAGGGGGAGAGAGGCTGGGGGAGCCCCCGGCGAGCAGGGGCTGGGGGGAGGGAGGGAGGGGGGGCAGCAGATACATACAAAGTCGGACGTGGCGGGATCTGGCCAACTGGTTTTATTTTTAATAATAGTGGAGAGTGAGTTGGAGCTGAGGTCTCTACCTCTCTCGGGGAGATTTGCTGAGAAAGCGCCTCTCTGGCAACTTTTTGACGCAAACTCTCCAACCAATGGCAGGGAGAGAATGATTGACACATCTAAGCCAGAGGGAAAATAATAAAAACACACAACAGGGGGAGGAAAACAGGCCACTGCTGCACCGGGGGAACAATCAGGCAACAAATAACAGCTACCGAAATGACACAAGAATATACATAAAAGAAACGAGGCTCGATTTAAAAATATACAGTATGGGCTGGAGCATATGAACTAATTGTACAATTAACGTGATGGACAGCAAAGATCACGTTACCTTATTGCTGGGGAGAGGTTAAAATATAGAAATGGCAAATAAAAGCAAGAAGAAGGGTGGGGTGGGGGGGGTAGATGCAAAGCAAGAGCTGCCAAGAAACCCGGGAATCAAAAACAAACCCCCCAAAAATAAAAAATAAAAAGCATGTCAAAGACTGAAGCCGAAACACCAGAATATGCAGGATCAAAGAGAAGGAAACTTAGCCAGAGGAGCAGGGAAGGGAGCGCAGGACCCAACTCTTTCCAAAACTAAGCGCAGGGGCCGGGGCCGCCCCGTCCAGCCCGCGGCCGCTCCCACGGAAGCCCGTACCAGGGCGAGGAGGACGAGGGCCACCATTGCCTCTTTACAGATTAGGATCCACGGGATTGCTGCAGGCAAACAGAGCCCACAGG